TTCTTTCCTAACCCTCTGACCTTTGGCCTTGTGTAAATGATGCCTTCCGATCTTAAATGGTTAATTCTTTTGAGTTGTACCACACTGTTGTAGTTGAACCTTTTATAAGCCTGTTTCTTGTTTGGTCGAAAATTGAGGCACAGTGGTAAATTCATAGCAACCAGACTAAGTCGTGGGGGTTCCAACAACCACCTACCTATCTAATTAGGAAAACCAATCTCTTTCATAATTTTGAGTTTTGCTCCACGTTTGTCTCCCACTCTATCCAGGACCTTCTAATGTGATCCTTTTTAGAGGAATTGACGTTGGAAACTGGACATAACTAGTTCTTCTAGTCTCAGGCTTGAGAAGACTAATGCTAAGACATTTCACCAGACTAGTAGTTTCTATAAGTTTCAGATTTTTTTTCCTCACTCTTCTTTCATCTGAAAAGGGAAAGACAAATATTTGCATGTTAGATGACAGCTCACAAGCTTATTTTGATGTGATAACCTTAACTTCTGTAGAGTATTGAAGGGCAAGGATGCTGCTTTGAAGACTAAACTAAGCCTGACCCCAGCCATGGTATTCTCCATCGCATCATATGCATGTGAACGTTGGGCATTGAATAAGGAAGACCTTAGAAGAATAGATGCATTTGAGTTGTGCTGCTGGAGAAGAATATTGAAAGTACCAGGGACTGCTAAAGGGACAACAGATCTGCATTGAAAGAAGTAAGGCCAGAGTGCACCTTAGTGACAAGGATGGCGAGACTTCATCTTACGTACAGTCTTATGGACAGTCTCTGGAGAAGGACGTCATGTTTGCTTAAGATGGAAGGGTGGTGAAAAAGAGGAAAGCCATCAAGGAGCTGGATTGACACGTTGGCTGCATCAATGGTCTCAGGCATAGGAATAATTGTGAGGATGATGCAGGACCGTCAGTGTTTTGTTCTGTTGTGCATAGGGTCGCTATAGGTTGGAGCTGACTCAGTGGTAGCCAACAACAACAACTATTTCTTTTAGAAGAATTAAAACCAGACTAGTCCCAAGGAGTTAGAGATTAAAGCTGTCCCAAATGTCCAACTTTTCCAAAATGTTAAATCATTTCCATTTCAACTCCCCTCTCCTTCTTTCACCACATTCCCTCAAAGACCTGAGTTCTACAGCTCACTGCAACGTCTCACAGAGACTCACGAAACTTTAAAGAAATGTCTCACATGACAGTGGGTACTGGGTGTTGATAAGAACCAAATACGAAGGTCAGGCAGAAGCAAGGCAAAGCCAGAAGCCCACGATGTCCTAAAGTCTTCTTCCTTCTACCAAAGCTCAGTCAGGAAACAGGTCACAAAAAATGGAAGGTTTTGGTGGAGTTGTGGTTTTAATCTTTTGGCAGACTAAACCCTCAGGGAAACAAAGGATGGTGGCATAAGGCACACCCTCTAGAAAGGTCTAAAAACACTCAAAATCAGACTCACTGACACCAAGTCATCACCAGCTCATAGCTGCCCTGTAGGACCTGGTAGAACTGTCCCTATGATAATTTATGAATTTCCAAAACGTTAACACTTTCCATGGCTAGAAAGCAACTTCTTTCTCCCAAGGATCAGTTAGTGGTTTCTAACTGCTGACCTTGCAGTTAGCCGCCCAATTTATAACCTCTTCACCTCTAGGGTTCCCCCAAAGACAACACCATCTTAAGTTCATAACAGACAAATGCCTCCAAAATTGGATTATGACTCTAGGCCCAGAGGCTAGAATTGGTATCACATCACAAAAGGGATGATGGCGAATGAGATTATGGCTAGAAGGACCATATTAGGTAATTCACCTCATGGCTCTTCTAGCCAGGCCATGCAGACTTGAACTGAGAAAAGATTATCCCCCTGCTCTGAGTCTCTCCGGAGAAATTTGATTTGATTTTGATTTTCCCCACTATATAACCACCCCATTTATTCATTCTTTTATCTTCAGCTATGATTTCTCCTTCATTCCATTTTTCATTTGTTTTTATCAAACTTTTCCACCTTTGGAAAAGACATTAGGTTTGACTGCCCTGTCAGCCCAGGTTTCTGGCAGCAAGATCAGTCTAGCAGGTGCTTCTCCCTTAGTTCATTCCGTTCCTGTTGGGTAGGGACCAAACTACCAAGTAATACGCTCTTCCTCGTCAACCCCAGTTTTGCCAGATGGGGAGAAGGTCTTTGGAGCTCCGGCATCTTGGTTTGGGAATATAGGTGCCATCTCTTCCTTCGTGATCACCCTTGCTCTGGCGCTCACAGCTGCACGCCTGGCCCAAAGCATGCAATGGGAAGAACGCAATTTGGGTGATCTGAGGAGAAACTGGACCGTAGCACCAGCATCCTCCCTCCCTCCTTACCTCTCTCCCAAGACCCTGCTGAGAAACATAGGAATATATCCAAAGGTGATTCTCCCTTTGTCCCTCTCCTGTTGAGTCTGGTCACACATTCATGAAAGCATGTAAGCCAGCCCCTCATCTCCTCCCATTTTGGCCAGCAAATGTTTC